ATAAGCCCTTCCTTTTTTATATTATCATTGTGTGTGTGTGTGTGTGTGTGTGTGTGTGTGTGTGTGTGTGTACACCATCAAATCGGATCTGACTGGTACAAGAGGAGATTGCCTCTCCTTCTCCAGCAAAGCATCTGGTGGATTGGAACCACATACCTCTGGGATTGCAGTGCAGCTTCTTGCCACCAGGCCCCCAGAGCTCCCTAAAAATAGGTTTTTATTTTTTGTTGTTGTTGTGTACTGTCGAGTGGTATCTGACTGGCACAGGAGGAGACTGCCCCTCCTTCTTCAGCTGGTGGATTTGAACTGCACACCTTTGGGATTGCATGAGCCCTTCCTGATAACAGGCCCAAAGTATGTGAGCTGAAGCTTCCCCATCCTTGCCTTTAAGGAGCGCCCTGCAGGGATTAAATTCAGGAAAGATGGGCTGCAGGGTTGTGTCCTTGCTCCACACCCATCCAATCTGTATGCTGAGCAAATTACTTGAGAAGCTGGACTCTATGAGGAAGAACATGGAGTGAGGATCAGAGGAAAAGGCATCAGTAACTTACATTATGCAGATGACATGGCCTTGCTGGCTGAAAATGAGGAGCTCACCTGACCAGGTGCCCCCACAGCTCTCCTGGGGAGAGGGACAGGAGATGCTTCCTCAGAGCTTTCTCAGGGCTGCTGTCTTGTCCCCTGGGGCCACTCTCCTGTCCTGTACTCCTGTCCCCAGGGTCACTTGTCCCCAGGGTCACTTGTCCCCCAGGGTCACCTCCTATCCCCCAAGGTTACCTCCTGTCCCGCAAGGTCACCTCCTGTCCCCCAGGACCACCCTCCTGTACCCCAGGATTGTCCTGTCCCCCAGGGTCACTCTTCTATCTCCAGGATTGCCTTCCTGTCCCCCAGGGTCACCTCCTGTCCCCTAGGGCTATGCTTCTGTCTCACAGGGCCACACTCCTATTCTTACGGACTGCATTTCTGTCCTGTGGGGTCCTGGGAATCAGAATGGCCTGGGCGCCAGCAGGCCTGACCACAGGGCTGGTGAAAGGAGTCCAGGCTCTGCAGTCACATCCAGGACACCCTGCAGATGGCGTCACTGCCCCAACACTGAGCAGGCCCAGCCTCCGGGAAAGGGAGGTTTGAGCTGCCTGCGCAGCGTCCTTCAAGCCTCTCAGCCCCTCGAAGCACATTCCTTCTGGAATGCGCTCTTACCCCTAGGTAACAGAGACCTGGAAACTTCTGTTCCATTGAGCTGAGCCAGGAGCTAAACTTAGGCACCCAGCGCGGCCAGGAGTGGGGCCCGGATATAGTTAGTAACAGGCAGGCTATTTTCAAACACCCGGAGAACCCCCCAAAAGACTCTGAGCCAGGGGGATATTTATAGATGCCTGGCTGCTGGCAGCAGTTAGGACCTGCGCACCGTCCAGCCTGGAGGGGTGGACACTGGATCCTGTCACACCTGTTCCCACGCCTCCCATTGCCAGGGCTCCTCACTGAGCTGACGTCCGAGTGTGTCCCCTGCTCTGAGGTACTGCTGGCTGAGGCTGCGGTCAGCGAGGGGCCGGACTAGCAACGCAGCTGGACGACAAGGTGACTAGAACAGATGCCACTGAATTGTTCCCTTAAAAATGGCTAAAACAGCAACGTCCTATGTCTGGTTTTGTGGTTGTTGTTGTTTAGCACCGTCGAGTCGTAGACGACTCATAGCGACCCTATGAACGAACGGCCTGAGCACTATCTGTACATAGAGTTTCCAGAGGCAAGCTATCTCGGAAGTGGATGCTGCTAATAAAATGAAAAGGAGGGAAGGACTTCCTGTGAGGAGAGGAGGGAACCGGATGAGTGAGCTTGGAGTGGTGAGGACAGCGTGCTGAGGTGCATCTTGGGGCTCAGGGGCAGAGACAGGGCTAACACCAGGGTGAGGGTGTAAAGTCCAGGGACAATTCCCAAACTCCTCCCCTCCCAGGATCCACAGAGCAGATCTTGACCCCCGACCCCACGTGCACCAGAGCAGAACCAGCCCCAGATGGTCTGCAAGAGCTGGGTTTTCAGGAGATTGTCAAAGGGCTCCTGGTGTTCTGGTCAGCGGCTGAGTGCACTGTCCAGTCACAGCAGAGTCATCACAAGGGAATGACCTTCACAGAGCTCATTCTTGCACTCTGTAGGCAGCTGGGGAGGAAGGTCCTTGTTTCTGTTGACTATCTGTGGGCCCCGACTTCCTCAGAGACCTCCATGAGTCTCAGCCTCAGTTTTCCCCTGGGTCCAGGAGACCCTCAGCATGAGGACCCCTGTCTGAATGGCCTGGTGCACTTCCAGCTCTTTTGTCTGGTCTCACATACAAGGGCATGCTGGCAGGAGGGAAATGTAGCAGATCAGAGAAGAGAGGAAGCCCCCCCCAGGAGATGGATAGATGCAGAGACTGTACCAAGGGGCTTGGTCTTGGGGGGGATGGCGAGGATGTGCAGGACGGACAGTCACGTGTGTGACGGCTGACTTGCTGGCCCCGACGTTACAGCCCTGTGCTCTCTGCTCCCTCATTCAATCTGCTGCACATCTCAAAAAGGACTGGTGTAAGGCTGACCCTGGTCCCACCTCATTCCCAGCAGAAGGGAGACTTGTCCACATGCAGGATAATTAGACCAGATCATAGGCTGGAGGACAAGGACACAGTGTGGACATTCACACCACAGCCATTTGGACACCTGTCTGGAGACACTGTCCATCCTTGACCGTCACCCAGGCTCCCCACTAGTTCCTGGGGCCCCATCTACTACTAGTCCTTCTTCTGTGGGTCTCAAGAGAACACCAAGTTCATACCCAGGCCACCTCAGTCCTGTAGGGCAGGACGAGAGGCCACTTGGCTGGGGCGGGAGGGCCCAGGGCCTGGTGCTCACCCAGTCCACAGACTCCTGCCCTGCCCTCCCGCTGGCTCCCGGCTGCCGCAGCGCCATCCACCCAGTCAGCCCTGGTATAAATATAAGTACATTTTCCATGGGCCCTTACAGAAGGGAAAACATTCAACTTTATTTTCAGCCTGTGAAATTCCCTTCCTTCATGCCTGGCAGATGCAACTGCTTCATTTAGCTGTGAGGCCCCAAAATAGAACTCAATTTACAATATCGCTTCCTTTAGGCATCTGGGTGTGTGTGTGCATGCGCACTCACTCTTCTGTGGGGTCCCTCTCACACTCGGTCTCCCATCCCAGGACCTCCTCAGGAGGCCAGGGGACAGAGGGCCACTCCTCGGGCTGCCCCCTCCAGGGCTGCAGTCCCCCCTCATGCCCAGCTCTGCCCTGAGGGGGTGACAGAGCAGGGTGGGGGTTGGGGGTGTGGTAGGGCAGGCCAGACTCCTGTAGCTGGGGGTTCACACAAAGGGAAGCCCCTGGGGGGGCTGGGATCCAGCAGCTGCTCTGACGGAGAATAACAGAATAACGGGGCAGCCTCCTCCCAGGCGGGTTACAGACTCAGAAACCCAGCCGAGGGGCGCTGTGATTCGGTTCCAACTGGACAGTGGAGAGCACGCGAACTCCACTCAGTGCCTTGGTGGTACAGGGTTTCGGCGATGGTCCCGGGTTTGAGCAGAGCGGCTGCTCCATGGAATCACCTGGCCCCATAAGCGGTACAGCCCTGAGCGCCCGGGGAGGGGTAGTTCTCTGTCCTGCGGGGTTGCTGAGAGTCAGAATCGGCCTGAGGGCAGCAGCTTGGGGTTGGACCCTCTGAAAACATGACCTTTCAGGGTGGGGCAGCCCTCCTTCCACCCATGCTGCCCCCAGAGGGGCTCTAACCCCTGCCAGTATGAGGACAGTGTCCAGTATCTGTGGATAGGGTTATGACTTCCCTGGTGGGGGTCTGAGTAACTGGGGTGGACAGTCCATATAAAGGCCACCCTTGGCCCCCAGAAGCCTCAGAACAAAAAAAAGCATGTTTGCAAATACCTCAGATGACTGCTGCCAAGCCAGGCACCTAGACAGACCCTTATCCTGAAAAGGGAGTCAGACCAGGCTGGACGGCATCACTGTCTGCAGTCTCAGTGAGCATTCTAGAACATTCTCTGTTTAGGTGGCCTGAGCCCACTTGGCTGGTGGCTCTGTTTCAAGGTGCCTGCCTCTGTCCCATGGCCAAGGGTTGGGAGGGAAGGGTGGACACCGGGCCAGCATCCTGAGGAGAGGAGCAGGTGTCTGGGCAGTCATCACACTCCTGGGGGCCAAGGACACCATCAGTCTCACTGGTAAGATTGGCCTCCTGCTGTGTGCTGTCCAGGAGAGGGTCAGGGAAGACTGTGGGACCCAGGGGAGGTCCCAGGGTCTTTGATCCTGGTGTACCAGTCATGTTGGGATGTTAAGGGTCTTGAGCAGGCAGGAAGGCCCAGGAAGCCCACTCCAGGCCATAGAAGGAGGGCAGCAGTGCCTTCTGCCTGGTACAGAGACACCTCCAGCAGGATGGAGCCCTGAGGCCACCCAGGCACGTGGACCCCCCTAGACTTGTGCTGGATTCTCTCGGACTGCTGCCCCCCTCCACAGAGGCCCCCTGTATGTGTTGCAACACCCCTGCTGCATTCCCCCCCAATGACCCTCCCTCTGGTCTCCTGGACACTGCCCTTCAGGAATTTCCTCACTGTCCACCTCCCACCTATGCCAGGCAAGACCAAGGACTCCAGAGACAGATGACTGCAGGGAGTGGCTCTTTATTACCCACCATCACCCCCCCCAGATGCCCACAGAGCTGGCAGCCACTGCTCATTGCCCACTGTGGACGAGGGCTGGCTCCCCAGACATGCCCATCTATACTCAAAGGCTCTTGTGTCCTGCTCCATCTCAGAGGAGAAGGGGGTTTCAGGCCCCAATATAATAAGCAGGCACAGGCTGGGCCTTCTGATGGGCTCCGCGAGGGACACTGAGTTAAGAACTGCCAGCTGGTGTCCACCTCCGGGAGAAGCCACACTGAGGTGCCAGCGACACCAGTTCCTGCCTGGGCCCCAGCATGGCCTCTCCTCCGTGGGGGTGGCCCGGCTGGTGCTCAGGACCCAGGGCAGCATCCAGATTCCTCATGGCGGAGCAGGAGGCACACGCGGGCGAAGGTCTTGGTGCATACCTTGCACTGGTACCTCTTGAGGTCTGAGTGAGTCTGCAGGTGTGCCCGGAGGTTGGAGCGGTCGGCGAAGGCCCTGCTGCAGTGTGGACAGGTGTAGGGCTTCTCACCTGGAGAGAGTTTCAGAGACCAGGAGAGCCTTGAATGGTGAAGCCACACCCTTCTGAACACCCCCAGCCCCTAGCCTCCAGGCTTGTTCTGTGACTTGGAGTGTGCAGCCACGCCCGCCCTCCCTTCCTGAGCCCCTCTCTCTCAGCCCTCCTTATCACCAGCCCACCTCTACATTCCCCTCTGTCCAATCTTGGAGCAGCTGTGGTCCATTTGATGCCATAGAGATAGATCTTGAAGACCACAGCTCTCAAGTAACATTCTTCACTAGTGAAGCTAAAGTTCTGCTTGGTTTCAAGACTTCAGGGGATATTTCAGGTTTAAGGTTTAAAGATGATCTCAGGTAAAGGGTTTCAGGAATTCGTCCAGCCTCCAGGGATCCATAAAATCTGGATTCCACCAACATTATAAATTTTGTGCTGCATGCCCCCCCCTTTTGATCTATCTTTGATCCAAATGATGAGTACTGGTGGCTGGGGCCCATGCAGGCTTCTGGGTCGTGGAAAAGGAGGCAGTTGACAAGGATGTGGGCAGTCCCGCCCCTCATAAGGCTCTGTCACAGGTCACCACCTTTTTCTTAGCTCGGGAGGAAGCGCTTTGCCCAGGGAGCTGGCTGAGCGGGGCCGCCCCTGCAGAATCTGGGATCTAGCAGAGGGTGCCCCGTGGTTGGCTCCGGCCGCCCTGTGTCTGCTCAGTCCAAGTCCAGTGATGGGGACTCAGTGTGGGCATGAGTCCTTCAGGGCGGACCTGAAGGCAGAGCAGATGCACTGAGCCCAGCAGCCCCACATGTCACGGGAGGCGGGGACGGGGTTAGGTGAGAGCAGAGACCCCTGCAGGGGAGGGGCATCTTCCCTGAGAAGTCACCAGCACCCACAAATGGTGACGGATGTAACTGTCACCCCTGAATGATGGATAAGAGGCAAGCGCTGTGTGAGACAGAAAGAAGGCCCTGAAAGTCACGCCAGGGGACTTGGGAGGATGGACACAGAAGGACCGTTGACGGGAACTGTCACACAGGGTCCTGCAGCCACGGTGTCAATACTGAAAAACCCATCCCACCCTCTCAGGGGCTCCAGTCCCCACTGCCCTCTGCCTGTGGGTCCACCCCCACCCACATCCCATATCTTGACCATTGTCAAGGGGGACACAGAGTGTCTGTACCTAGCTGGCCTGGGCACCTCATGTAATCTGGGTATACCAGATCACAAGGGTGGAGTGCTTGGGCATGGGTTAGTGGGGGGTCTCGGGGACCCAGGGTCTCTGCTACAAGGCATCTGCCCACTGCCCAGTGACTCAGGACATGTCAGCCACTGGCCATGACCTCAGGAAGTGTTGTCTATTATAAAAAGTGTGTGTTGCAACTGTGGGGGCTGAGGCAAGCCTGAGTGACCCCTGAGCATGCCCCCTCCACTCTGCCTCCCTGAGCATGCTGGGCAGTGCCCTGTGGGCTGGGGGTTCCTGGGTTCAACCTGTGGACAGAAGCCCGACCCCCGGCTCTGTCCTCCCCTAGCTCCCACTTCCCCTTCCTGTCTCTGGCCCTTCCTCTTTGTCCCTGTGACTTCCTGAGGTCACCTGGCCGCCCTCTCAGCCCCAGTCACCCTCCCTAGTGCCCAGCCCAGCTGACCTGAACTGCAGCCCGCAGCACTGTGCCCCCTGCTCGACGCCTGCCTGGATCAGGACTGCTGTCCCACATCCCCCCTCCTCGGCCTGGCCTGTGGGTTTCACTGTGCTCAAACACACAACACTGGTCATCTCAGCGTTTCATGTGATGTGGGGGCAATAACAAGCCCCAGCACGCCAGGTGACCGGCAGCACTGTTAATTCTCATGAGGACCCCACAGTCCTGGCCCAGGAGCCCTGGCCTGAGGGTCTCTACCCCTTTGCTGCAGTGGTGGCTTCAGGGTGCCCCTCAGCATTCCAGGGCCGAGTGTGAGCTCTCCATTGTGGACCAGCCTCTTTCCCCCGAGCTCAGTCCCTGTGTGGCAGGAGCGTGCCCTGAGTGGGGCCTTCAGGCCTCTCTGCCAGCACCTCTATGTGTGGCATGCCTTCCTGGGGACCCCACCTGCGTGTGCTTCTACCTGGGAGTCTGCACCTGAGAGCCCTACCTGTGTGGGGTTCTCTCTGCAGGTTCCCTACCTGTGTAGATCTCTACCTGCATGGCTTCCCAGTGGGTTCCTGACCTGTGTGACCTCTGCCTGCCCCCCTCATGCCCACCTGTGTGATCCCACCCTGCCCACCTGTGTGACCTCCCCATCCCCCTGCCCACCTGTGTGACACCCTGCCCTGCCCACCTGTGTGGGTGCGGATGTGGCCCTGTAGCAGCCAGGGCCGGGAGAAGGCCTTCCCGCAGAGCGCGCAGATGCAAGGCAGCGTGTGGGTCCGCAGGTGCATCTTGAGGGCACCCAGGCTGCTGTACTCCTTGGTGCAGTGTTTGCAGCTGAAGCAGCGTCTCATCTGCAGGTGGCGGGGCAGCTGCCTGTGTGCAGTTAGCCTGGTTGTGGGGTGGGGCAACCGCAGGCACTCGGGGCAGCCAGGTGGCTGGGCCGTCCCCACAGCCCCACATGGTCTGTCTGGTTCTTCCTGGCCCGGGCCCGGGGGCAGCGACCACTGTTTTGGCAGCAGCAGAACTGGGGGCAGGTTGGGGTGGTTCAGGCTGTCTCTGAGTGGGGTGCTGGGCACCTGGCCAGCCTCTGGGTCCACCAGACTGACCCCTGGGGAGACAGGGCTTGAGGCTGTCCAAGCTTCACCATGGTGCAGACGAGGCAGGGGGAGGCGGGAGATGACGGGGGCGCAGCCCTGGGGCTGGGGTGTGTCATCGAGAGCAGGGAGGAGGGGCACCACCAGCCCCCCGCAGGTCCAGCAGGGGCCATTGGCTTCTGGGGGGAGAGTGAGCACAGTGATCAGTGAAGATAGCCCCCATCCTTATGCCCCAGCCTCCAGTCCTTCACCCTCAGTGATCAGCGTGCTCAGCGTCCCAGCGGGCAGGGGCCTCGGCCAGGAACACCTTACAACAGACAGGAGCCAAGGCGGGTGAGCACACTGTAGGGACAGGGGTTGTGAGAGTCAGAGCAGAGGGACTGGGGCCAGGGGGCGAACCCAAAGTCCTTTCTACAAACAAGATCCCTTGAGGCCAGCGGCAGAAAACAGTGGCCCAAGGGTGGGCTTGCTCTGTGGTCCCTGGTCACCACCAGCCCGCACCTCCGATGGCCCTCCGCCCAGTCCTTCCTCTGTGTAGGAAGGAATAGATCTTCCGCTCTGTCTGTGGCAGACAGTTGGTCTGATGTTAGAAGAGGATGTGATTGAAGAGGAAGGGAGAAAAGGCTTGCAAATCATTGCTTCAAATGGGGACCCAGAATAAGTAAAGAACTCTTGCAGGGAAACTGGCTGAGGAGGGACTGCGGTGAGGCTCCGTCACTGCGAGAAAGACGTGAAGCTGCCTGGGGACCGTGCTGAACGTTTTTTACAAAGGTTCTGTAGATGATCCCTAATCAGGGGAGCTCTGGTGGCCTAGTGGCAAGAAGCTGCCCTGCAATCCCAGAGGCGCATGGTTAGAATCCACCAGATGCTCTGCGGGAAAGGAGGGACAATCTCCTCCTGTACCAGTCAGATCTGATTTGAAGGTACACAGACACACAAAATAATAATAAAAAAAAAACTAAAAAAAAAAGATGATCCCTAATCAAAACTCAAAGAGGACTGGACAGGTCCTCAGAGTCCTGTTCAGTCCGGAGCTTCAGGGGTTGGGTGGGCTTCCCAAACCACTGCTCTGAGGGTATCTTTACATTCTGAGCCAGAAACTTCCCCAAGTATAAAAACCAGAGTAATTTAGCTTGACTAGCAAGGACCTGCTGCCTTGAGCAGTGTGGCCTGTGGGGTGGGCACTGATGTCAGAGCTCCAGCAGGACCCAAGGGGGCAGCGGTCTCTGTGGTGGGGGGGCCAACAGCTCCGCAGGAAGGGGGGAGGCTGCACAGCATGGACAGTGCCATCGGTGGCCGAGGGGCGGGGTGACCCTGAAGAGCTGGTGCGCACCTCACTGTGTGTACGTCAACAACAACAGGACACGAAGCCAAGGTTAGGGGAGAAGTGGGCAGAAGACCTGAATAGATGGTTCCTCAAGGAAGCCACACAAACAGCCAGCAGGCACAGGGGCCACGCGCCACGTGGCCAGTCATCAGGAAGACAGGAAGCCAAACCACAATGGATGCCACTAGGGTGGTGGCGATCAGCAATATGGAGATGAGTCTTGGCGAGGAGGCGTGATGCCCAAGGCCCACATGCACAGGCAGGGCTGTGAGGGGGCCGTGAAGGGGCCATGAAAGGGGCTGTGACAGATGCGGCAGCTCCAGGACATTTAATCCACAATCATCTGGGACCTGGTCACTCTGCTCTCAGGAAGCTGCCCCTGAGAGGTGAGAACACACATCCACATGGGGACCTGCTTGCGAATGCACACAGAGGTCACACTCACCATGACCAGAGTGGAAAGGACCTGCATGCCCACCCCAGACGCTAGACACACACCTGGGATACCTCGGGTGAGCTGTTATCAGCCATGGAAAGCCAGGCAGTGCTGACACACACCGCGGTGTGTGGGGGCCTCAGGGCACGTGGCAAAGTGCCACCTCGTCTGTAGCAGCCAGATTTACAAGAGCAAAGAGGAGGCGGCATCCGTGACAAGCGAAGAAACGCGTGCCCGTCCACACAGCGGAGTGCCACGCAGCACCAGGGCCGGGTCTGAGACACTGCAGACCTGCTAATCTAAGGGGACATTATGCCGAGTGAAAAGTGCAGTCACAAAAGGACAAACACCGAGGAGACTCTCTTATAAAAGCTGAACTGAACAAGCTCTGGTACAGAGCGGTCAGGAAGGCTCCCTAGGTGTGGAGGGAGGGTGGAAGTGGATACATTGTAGTCTTGGGCAGTGGAAACATTGTAGCTATGTATTAAGGACAGTGAAGGGAAAGGCTAAATAGGGCTCAGCCGGGAGAGTGGAAACATTGTAGTCCTGTAGTAAGATCAAGGAAAAGGCTAAGTACAGGGGAAGGTCAGCACATCCTCACTGGAGAAGGTGGCTGGGCAGATGGGCAGAGATGCTAGCGAAGGGACTCCAGAGAGTGGTCGGAAGGTGGGACTCTAACCTGGGAATTGCCACTGGTGGTACGAAACAAAATATGTACGGAAGAGCAAATTGCTTTACAAACTTTCAAATCACAATTAAAAAAAAATTAAAGGATCAAAAGTCATGGTAAGTGAAAGAAATCGGCTGATTCATCAAACAGCGTCTGTGTCTGTAAAATGTCCTCCCACCTTGGACTTAAACAGGTGGCCCGGATTTGGCCCTGTCCCTACCTCGTTGCGTCTCCAGCTGCCGGTAGTTGGGGATCCTGTGGCTGGAGTGCGTCTTGACGAGAAAGGAGCGCGGCATCTTCTCCCAGGCGTCGTCGGGGCAGGGACACGATCCTCACACGTCCAGATTGTCTGTCTGTCTGTGGGACACCGGTCGGCAAGACCCACTTCGAGTCAGGTGCGGGCAGGGGCAGGCTTATTAGCATAGCGCGCCGGGCTGGCCAACCAGCGCCCGGCGCGTGCGGGGCGGGAATGAGGGCAGGGCCGGGGGCGGAGCAAGGTCTAGTTATTAGCATAGTGCACCGACTTCGCCAATCAGAACCCGGCATGGCAGGAGCGGCTTTGAGAGCATGGGCGGGGCGTGACAGGTTATTAACACGGCACGCCGCCTTGGCCAACCAGAGCGCGGTGGGCGGGGCGGCCCCGGCCCGTGTGGGCGGGGCCTCTGTGCCACGCCCAGGACAGGTGCGCGGCCGCGGCGGGAATGCGTGGGAGCCCGTGGCCGCCGGCGCCCTGCCCACGGGCCTCCCTGCCCGGCGCACGTGAGATCCACGCTGACCCCGCTCTTGGGGCGCCCACGCGGGGCGGCTCCAAGGGACGTGATGGTTGGACACAGAACCCAGAGCTTCCAGTTTTCAATCTAGGGATCCGGTGCACGTGGGATGGAGCAAGGCCGGGGACTAGCCCCGGGGGAGCAGCCAGCTCTCAGCTGCTCTGCTAGTGGTGGGACCGGAAAGCCCACTCTGGAGAGGTCTCTTGTGACCCCGCCTGACTGACTGGATGGCGCCCTGGGGTCAAGCGTCCTTGGGAGCAGCCTGCAGCTGGGGGGCAGCGTCAAGAGTTGGCCCAGACACAGCCTTGAACTCCAGGACCTGGAGGTGGGGAAATCACTGACTGCCTCGTAAAAACCCAGCTTTGTGACCCTAGGCCAGTCTCTCCCACCGGAGTCCCAGAGACTGTCCACAGATAAAGAGCTGAGGAGATCTGGGGTGGCACCCTCTTGATGAGATCATTTCCCACCTTCAGAGGAGGCTGACGTTCTGGCAGCTTCCAACCGGATGGTGCTGATGGGCTTGTCCACTGCTGGCTTATCAGGCAGCTATGGGTCTGGGGGAGGGTGGACGTTGCAGAGACTATGGTGATGGTAGGACAATGAGGGACATGTCTGTCCTCTGGTAGTGGGGTGGTGGGGAGCCTAAGGCCCTGTTTTGCAGGTGAGAACAAGACTTGGAGATGTGGGGCATCAAGGTGAATCCAGACCTGGATTCCAGGGTGCCAGAGAGTGTGCGCAGTTCTGCTGAGTCGTGAGCAGCCCTCATCCACTGTCTCACCCTCATCATCATGGCTGCACACCCTACAGTGGGGCTCCTATGCTGTGGGGCTGCCCAGCCCATGCACTGCATGTTGACTTCAGACTGCCTCCTGCAGGTGCCTGTTCCCAGCCCTCCAGGGTGGAGTCAAAGCTGGCCTCCACAACAGGTCCTGCACAGCTCTGAACCCCGCTGCAGTGAGCCCCTACAGCCCCAAGTGCCCAAAGTGAGCATTCTGGCCTGATCCTTGGGGGCTCTCGGGCCAGGGATGAGTTGTAGCCTTGAGACCCCTTTGCATTCAGATCACTTCTCAGTGGCTGCTTGTTGGGCAGAGGTGACAGCAGAACTCAGGCCACTAGGGCAGTGATGAACCTGGAGAGCATAGAACTACTCAGAAGGCCCTGGTTAAGCCCCCGGCACACCCCGCATCCTGCCACTCCTCCCTGGAACCACTTGCTCACCGTAGGTGAGCCGTTAGGAGCCCACCTAGCCAGCAGGAGAAGGGTCTCATAGGAGGCTCTGCGGAAAGACTGCTGCATGACTTCCTGGTGTCCAGGTCAAGACACACAGGGAGGCAGCAGGCGAGGCATGCTGTCAGGGGGCAGCTGAGAGCTTCTCAGCCGGGGTACCCCAAGTGAGCCCAGGAGCTTTCTACTTGCCAATGAAAAGCACTGGTCAAGTCTGGCTACAGATGCTCTGAAATGTTTTATTTTTTTTTTAAAAGACAGCAATAATTTATGCCACAAAACACATGCTTTCTGGCTCTGCTCCCCTGCACCCTGCCCCTGGCCTGGGTGGGTGAGGAGGGGAGCCATGGGGCGCCTTCTTTCTTCCCAAGGCCAGAACTCCAGCCTGGTCACCCTGCGCCTCTAAGAGGCCCTGCCCCATCTGCAGACCCACAGCCATCAGCAAACAGGCCAGGACCCAGGTGTCCACCTGGGCTTTACTGAGAGGAAAACCACCAGGGACACAACTGGAACTGTGGAGGGGACCCCTGGGGCTCCTGTCCGTCATACAGGTCAAAGCGGTGCCTCAACCCAACAGCTTCTGCCCCTGCCCAGTGCCCCTCTTCCTGACCCTACACAATGCTTGTTTTTGACTTTTTTTTTTAAAAAATATAATCTTGTAAATGTTCCATAAAAATACTATTATTCCTAGTCAAACACAGATATTGCAATATGAAGAGTAACTGTTTTCTTTGCGCTATAAAATGTGAAAAGATTATCACACTGGATCATATAGAAAAATGCCGGCATTTCTAGGTATCACAAAAGCCAGTACCAAATGAGCAGGTGAGGCTGGGGGCCAGGACGGCAGGGGGTCTGCTCGGCCGGGGCCTCGAGCGCCTAAGTCTCCATGGCTTCAAACAACTCCACCATTCTGCGATCACAAGCACCCTGTGTGGCCACACCTCGCAGAGAAGCCCTCCAGTGAGCTCGACGGCAGGGACTGAGGGATGCTTCCCGCTGCATAGCAGACCCTGGTGCCACCAGGGTGTGTGCCGTCCTGGGATAGGGATGTGCTGGCCTTCAGTTCTCAGAGAGGGACAGGGCCAGGGCGGCCTGGAAGGCAGCTTCCTCATCGATGCTGTAGTCCTGGAAGGGAGGTGTCAGCCTGTGTGGTCACCTCAGACATCTGACAGCTAGTTCTGCCATATGACTGGGGTTGGGGGACGTGCAGCCCTGAGGCTGAAGGGTGATGGGGGTGCCAGGAGGCCAGGGACTAATCCTGTCCCCAGCACCTCAAAAGTAGAGGAGTGAGATGAAGGTGACGGTCTCCTAATTCACTCCTCAGTGGTCCTGTCACACCCTGTGTGGAGAAGGGCTGCCTCCTACGGGACCCTGGGGCCAGCTCCCCAGAAGGGCCACTGGTTCCACATTGCTGTGTCCCCAGGAGGCATGTAGAGCAAGCAGAGGTGCGACAAGACTGCCCCCGTGTGGCTGAATGGGACAATGGCACTCTCTCTGGGGAAGCGGCCTGGGCTGTCTGGAGGAGACCTAATTGAGCCAGCCTTCTGGGCTCCCTCTGGTGGCCACATGGACTATCCCCCAGAAACCCATAAAACCCTGAGGGCACACCGTCCCAGGACCGGCTGCCCACTCTCCCCATCGACTGATTCAGAGCTGAAGGTGGAGACCAAGAAGAGGTGGGGCTCGGTGGGGGTGCGTGGGAGGGAAAGTGTGATGCAGAGGGGGTTCCAGGAAGAGAGGGGGAGCCAAGAGGAGGGGACAGGGGTGGGGGTGTGGGACAAGGGGTGGGGTATGGTTGAGAGGGGGGGGCCAGGAGTGACAAAGGGTGGGGCATGATCAAGGGGGCGGGGTCAGGAGGGACAAGGGATGGGGCATGATGGGGGTACTAGGAGAAGAGAGTAAGTGCTGGGAGCATGACGTGGAAGGGTAAGGAGTGAAGGTAAATGGAGTGCCAGGGCGCAGAGCCAGGAGGGGTAAGGGAAGGCACCCACGCACTGGGGCGGGCCACCTCTGTCCAGGCTGAGGAGGTCAACGGACACTCACCACAAAGGTGTCATAGGAGAACTTGTGCCGGTGGAGGAGGTGTTGCAGGAAGTTGGCGCTCTTATAGCTGGGGTCCCCCCAGGGCATTGCTGAGCAGATGGGGCATACCTGGGTAGAGGACCACATGTGAGGAGTGCAGGGGGTTGGGAAGGGGGGCCAGGGAAGCTTACGGGGCATCTGGGTAGGGCAGGAGGCTCTCCATAGCAGAGCCCTGGCCAGGAGCAGAGAGACTTCTCAGCAAAGGGGACCTGGCCCAGTGGGGGCTCACTGCATGGCCAGGGTGGGCCTGGTGTATGTTCACTGTACCGATGGGGGGAGGGAAGGGACTCCGTTCAGGTATGAGGGCAGAGTGGGGGTTCACTTAATGGATGGGATCGCAGGGAAGGGAAGGAGGCTCCCCACGCCAGCTCGGGGTGTGGGGTTCACCTCATGGATGCGTAGTGGGGGTTCACTTCATGAATGGGGGGCCGGGGTGGGAATGCACCAGACAGATGGGGAGTGGAGGACGGGGGCTCCCCACATGGATGGGGGCAGAGAGGGGGCTCACTTCGTGGACTGAGTGGGGGCAGGGAAGAGGCTCACCTCACGGATGGGGCAGGCGGGGAGGGGCTCACCACACAGATCAGAGCAGGGAGAGGGGTCACTGCTGGGTGGGGGTGGCTCACCTCGTGGAGGAGGGGTCGGGAGCTCTCACCCCACGGACGAGGGGTTGGGAGGGCTCAGCGCAGGGCTGCAGAACTCACCACACGGTTGGGGTCACTGCGGTGGTTGTCCACACAGTGCTTCACCAGCTCCTGCTGGTCCAGGTTGCGGGCGCCGCAGTAGGGGCAGGTGAAGGTGGACCGGTTGGGGATGTTGCTGGGGGCAGGGTAGGCGGGGAGTGAGCCTGACAGCCTGGGGGTGGGGGTGGAGGACCCCCTGCAGCAGCGGTGTCCCATGGAGAGGTCACTCATCTCCAAACACCAGGAGTTTGGAGGCGCCCTCGGCCCCCACCTTTCCCAGCTCCAGGAGTGGGGCCACCGCTAGTGGCTGTGCGTGTCACTGCAGCACACAGGGCACCTAAGTGGGACTCTCCCCGCCCCCCCCCCCCCCCCCCGACCTGGCCTGGGAATGAGGGTGCTCCTGCTGGACCCAGCCCTGTAACCCTTCCTGGATGTCCTGCTCAGAGATCCATTCCTGAAGGGTGCTGAGATGTGGCCTGCTGGACCCCCAACCCACCCCGCGGTGAGGGGCCTTGCAGGAGTGGACAGCCGGTGTAGTCTGAAAAGAGGTCAGGGCACAGGGGCACATACCTGGGGATGGGCTGCGATGTGGGCACCACGGGGACGAACTTGGGGCAGTTGGCCATTTGCTCCTGGACCTTCACACAGGAGGAGACGTGCACCCGCATCTTTGCCAGGGCCACCTAGGGTGCACAGGGGTAGGAGGGCAGCTGGGACCTCGGGTAGCCAAGTGCAGGCAGTAGCCATTCAGGTCCCCTCAAGGACAGCAGCAGCTCTTGTTGTGTCCAGGGTGCAGACAGGAGCCCGTGTGGGACCCTGGAGGCTGCAGTCGCTCTGTCCCTCAGGGGTGTCTGGTGGCTGAGGCTGTGGTGCAGGAGGGGCCACTCCCCACTTGTCCCCTCGCTGTCCGCAGGGCTTTGAGAACAACGAATGGGGCAGCTTCACACGTGGCCAACTGGTGGGGCACTAACGGGGGCAGTAGTGCCAGACATGAAAATGCAGTAAACACAGGGCCGTGGCAGGCAGAGGGATGGCGGGGAGACCTTGGCCAGAGGAGGAGTGAGGGCACAGGCCATGCTCAGAGAAGAGTGGGAAATGAGCTGGGGAGCCAATGGTAGGGACCACTGCCCCTTGCAGTGCGCCACACTCAGAAGGGGCCATGACATGGTGTCTTCCAAGGACAGGGGCCCCCCTCACCAGCCCTCCCCTAGGTCTGGGGCCTCAGCAGGAAGTGCGCTGTGTGGGCTGCTGTGCAGTGCAGAGCCCTCTGGTCGCTGCACAGGAAGCCGAATGGCTCTGCCTCCTCCCTGGGGTGCAGGGCCACTGGGCCCCTAGCAGCTAGGTCGGGGAGGTACCTTCTTGTTGCAGCCTCGGCAGGGAGCCTTGTAGGATGAGAGCTGCTTCTCCACATGGGCAGCCTTGTCCACCTTCTTGGGGTCGAAGGGCAGGCGGCAGAGCGGGCAGAGTGGGGATGGCACCTGGAGGCACGGCTGGAGGCACTCCCCACAGAACCTGGGGAGGGGGGACAGGCCTGAGGGCCCAGCCCTCGTTGCCCTCCACACATGCCACTTGTTAGCTGCCTGGTCTCTGGACTGCCCTCTAGGGGAGGGTCCCTTCTGGATCACCTCCTGGGTGTCTGCCAGTGCTGGACAGGGAACTGGAGTACTCCTAGGAGTGCTTGGGTCCCTGCAGAGCCTGCCCACAGGCTCAGGCCCCTTTTGTCTGGTGCTGGAGCCAGGCACCTGCCATCACAAAGGCCACCGACACCATGCGGTCCACTTTGTGGAGGGGAACCATTTGGTTAAGCAGTCCACAAGTAAGGACAGCTAGCCGTGGGACACACTCTGCAGGGAACATCTGCTGTAACCACTCTGAACCTCAACAAAGACAGCCTTGTGGGGTGGAGACAGACCACCCCGAAATGGAACCAGCAGGAAGAGAGGCTCACTGGCCCGGACGAGAGCCAGTGCGGCCAGCTCCAAGGGCAGAAAGGGTGGGACGGAAGCTAACCATGACTTAAAGAAGCCTCAGCTGAGGAAGGGGCAGGGCCGTGGTGACCAGGGCACAGTATGTGGCCTGTGGGGAGGGTTACGGACGGGGAGGGGGTTCCCAGGGCACTCCTTTTGCTCATTCACACCACTAGGCAGGCGCCTGCAGAGGAAAGGGTCTCCTGGACCAGGGCCCACCGGACAGTGCCCTCCACCGCAGACCAGAGCTGGAGAAGAGCCTCGAAATGCCCACGAGTTCTGGCAGACAAGCCCTGCCACCTTGTCACCAGCAGCCCCCTTGGTGCTGCCTGCCAGGTCCGTGGGCAGGCTTCCCTGCCACTTTGACTCCCAGCCCACACCCACTGTCAGCGGCAGCCTCAGCTCCCTCCTGGAATCTGCAGCCTCTAGAGTCAGCTGCTTTTGTTTGCAAAAGCATAGAGGGCCTCCAGCCAACCCGGGAGCACACCTGGCCAACTCTGCTCCCTGGCAATGGAAGCCCCACCCCTGTGTTGGCACCTGCAGCGGAGCTCTCCCCTCTCTGCCTTCCCTCAGCTGCGGGCATAGCTGTGCTGATGGGAGGCACAGAGCAGACGATTATATCTCCACTCTGATCACAGCACAGCTCCAGGCTGGGAGCACAGCGCTGCCTCAATTCCTGTTCCTCAAACGCCTCTGGTGCACGAAGTCTGGTACCTGCTGGCTGCTCAGCATGACCCAAGTTCTTCCAAACAAAACAAAGCTGCACCAAGGTCCAACCAAAGCACTCTCCTAACTTTAGGGAGCTCCTTCCCCTGGCGACCCAGACACGCAGACAGCGGGCCTGAAAACGAGGCAGCAGCTGAGGCACGAGGCATTTATTGACAGTGGACGCCCCAGTCTCCACCTGGTGGGCTGGCGAAAGGCGACTAGCGCAGCGGTGCGGTACGGCCCGGGGTACCCCGCAGGCCCCTCCCGGTGACCCCGCTCCGGCAGGGCTGAAGTTCGGCCCGGTGTGCCAGGTTGAGCGCCAGCGGCTGGCGGGCAGGAGGCCAGGCTGGAGACTCGCTTCTGAGGTCCAGAGAGGTACTGCGCAGGGGAAACCCCGGATGCTCCGCGCGCGCCGCCCCCGCACCTCCCCGGCCGGACGCACTCACGTGTGGCCGCAGCTGCCGATGGCCACGGGCCGGTGGTAGACCTCCAGGCAGATGGGGCAGCTGAACTGCGCCTCCAGGCCACTGTCACCGCCCGCGGGCCCGGCCGGCGGCTGCCGCTGCTGAGCCGAGGCCACCAGGCTGCGGAACATCGCCATCCCCGGGCCTGGCCCGCCGCCGCCGCCGCCCGCCCCCCCGTCCGGCCAGGCCCGGCCCGGTCCGACCTGCGCGTCACGACCGCGACGGCGCCGCGTGACGTCACACGGCGCGCCCACCACCCGCGGCGGGTCTCGGCGGCGGCGCCCGCGTGGCGTCATCGCGACGACGCTGTGTGACGTCATCGCGGCGCGCCGGCCGTCGCCGCCTCCGCCGCCGTCTCCGCGCAGCCATGTGTCAAGTGGGCGAGGACTACGGCGAGCCGGTGCCTGTGAAGGCGGCCCCGCCGCGGCCGGGGTGAGAGCTGGCCCCGGGGCTCTGGCCTGCCCGCCGCCCGGGGAGTCTCCGGCGGCCTTCCCGTCACTGCGGGGCTCGGGGGCGGGGCGGGAGGTGGACTGGCCCGCGGGGCCGGCCATGGCTGCCAGGCTGTCACCACTCTTCCTCTGCTAGTCATCGAGCTGTCCCCTGGGGGAGAGCGGTGGCCCTCCTGTCCCTCTGTCCATTATTGCCATTCCTCCCTCCAGAGGACACGGTTTCCTCTCCCTCCCGGGCACGCCATCCCTGAAAGGTTGAGAGGTCTTTGTGGGCTCCAAACCAGCTTCTCAGGCCGGACAACCCCCAAAGCCTCTGTCCTTTCTCACATTAGTGGCTACTGGGGTGAACCCTGCTTGTCGGTGCCCACCCTCAACTTCTCGTACTGCTGGGACTGATAAACTGGACTCTGGCTCGTGGAGCCCCACGGGCCGTGTCCTCTGTGCTCAGTCCCGTTTTCTCCCTGCTGCTCCCACTCCCAGTCTTCAAAGCCGGGAGAAGTGTGTGAAGTGCAAGGATGGAGTTCCCGTCCTGGTCATCAGGGCAGGAGATGCCTTCTGCAGGTGAGGACCTGGTGGTCAGGGTCACCTGCGCCCAGCAGGCTCTGCTGCGTCCCTGGAAAAGCCGCTGCCGTTGCCACCCCTGCTGTCCCTGGTGCCTTGTGGAGGCTGGAGATGCTGATCTCTGCGGAGTCAGTCTCCCATAAGCTAGCCCTCAGATGACATGATGGTGTCGGGTGGAGCTGGGATGGGGGGCGGAGTTGTAAATGGGGGTGAGGCCGTCTAGGTATGGGCAAGGGATGGACATTTGGGCACGTCTGGAGCACACGAGTTCCGATGCACATTGGTCAGGTGTGACTGCTGAGAAGGCAGGGAGACTGCAGCTAGAACCCACACTGTTGCTCTGCGGGAGCATGATGCAGCCTGCTCGTGTCAAGGCCGGGGCTCGGAGCGGACGGGCGGGCCTGCAGGCTGCTATCAGAACCCACTTATGGAAGCTGCCTGGCTTTGGCTGGGACCACACTGCGGGTCAGGGTGTTGGGGTGAGGATCACTCACCTTGAGGATGCCTGTTGTATCTGTTGGGGAGGTGGGTGGGTAGAGGGCCCCAGGTGACCTCTCATGATGTAGCATTGGGCTGGACATGAAGGCGCGTTGTCCCATCCCCCTTTCGTTTTACTATGCGTTATTTGGTTATTTCCACGTGACCAGCCTTTCCCTCTTGACGGCTCCTTCCTGTCCAATGACTTTAGGGAGTTCTGATGACCTTGTGGGTAGGGAGTTGTGCCCTGGGCACTTCAAGCCCAGTGGCCACTTTCTGGGAGGAAAGTGGGCGTTCTCAGGACTCTGAAAAGCCCCTGTGGGTCAGCTCTGCGTCCACAGCGATGGGCTCTGTGGGCCGATTCTGAGCCTGGTGCAGCCCAGGGGCCTCAGTGCTGAGAAGGGGATCCTCGTCTGCAGCTGGCGAGTCTCCCGCTCGCTCGCTCTGATGTCGCCTTGCCTGGGTTTAGCCACGTGGGCTTCATCAGGGCTCTCAGCCGAGCTTTGAAGACAGAGCTTGCTAGAGAGAGAGTAAGGAGACAGCATCTTAGCTGTCTCCCCGTGTGGACACCTCCCTGGTGTGGACACCTCCCCTGGTGTGGACACTCCTGACATCAGGAGTGGTGTGGATGGACTGACAGATGCCACGGACTGGCTGGCGTTTGAGGACTGTCAGGGGCGGGGTATCTGTGTTGCAGGGACTGCTTCAAGGCCTACTATGTCCACAAATTCAGAGCTGTGCTCGGCAAGAACCGACTCATCTTCCCAGGAGAGAAGGTGAGTGTGGGGCTTGGACCCCTCCTCCACTGGCTCCCAGTCCCAAGGAGCCCCGCCTTTGCAGGTGGCTGGCCTCTACTAGCCAGGTGACTTAAGGAGATGATGCTGTGTTCTGGAGACCTTGGAGTGGACACATTGCTATTGGACAACATGCTCTGTGCCTTCTCTTTCCAGGTCCTCCTGGCGTGGTCGGGTGGGCCATCATCCAGCTCCATGGTCTGGCAAGTCCTGGAGGTATGTCCACCACCCTTCCCACTGAGCCAGGGTTGCCATGAGGTTGACTTGGGTGGAGGAAGTCCTGCTGGCTGGCATCACTGTGTCCTTGGAGGTAGAGGGGTTCAAAGACAGGAGCTTCTCTGGAGTGTCACCCTGTCTTACCTGTCTGTCCACCCTTGAGGGGTACAGCAGGGACTGAGGCTGGCGTGACTCAAGGTGTCCCTGGGCGACTGTGTACCCCAGGTCCAGAGTGTCTGACAAGACTAGTATGAGCGCAGGTACTTTGGACACCTGGGGGCTCTCTCTGAGCTGGTTTAGGGGCTCCATCAGGAGCAGAGCTTTACTGGGGTGCAGGGCAGGAATGTGAGGTGAGGCTGCAGTGAGGGACTCACAACCTGATCTGGCCGCTGGAGTCCTTGGGGAGCCTGGAGTGTGCCAGGGGCATGGCCTGCGCTCCAAGCTGTAAGCCTGGGACATTTAGCCATGGACTCTGGCCGGGCTGAGCTTCTTGTCCCTTCCTGTAGGGCCTGAGTCGAAACTCAGCCAAGCAGCTTCGGTTTGTTCCTGGGGTCGTCTATGTAGATGGTAGGTGTGGCCACTTCTGTCAGTCCTCTGCTGGACGGGGAATTGCGAGCACTGCCTGGAGGGGACCCTGGGGGCATTGCTGGCTGGGATCCAATCAGGAGAGGCATCTGGCCCTCTTCTGGGGTTCAGGGAGACCTGGCTGAGGGGAGCTGGGCAGAGGGTTGACCAGTGAGTGATTGCTCCTGTCTGAGCCACAGTAACATCCTACCCCAGTTCTGAAAATGCACCCAAGGGCTTCACAGAACCTGTGCCCCGTGGTGTCGCCCCTTCTGTGGAGTGGCTCCGGGGCTCTGACCGGGCCCTCAGGGCACTCGAGCTGGTCATGGGATGAGCTCGGATGCCGCTCCCTGGCTCTGCAATGGCCGTGACTCCTGCCTGCCTCACAGACGGGGCAGCTTGCGGCCGCAGTCTGGAGGACAGAGCTGAGACCCTGGCTGAGGTGCAGTCTGTCCTGCGCTCCACCGGCCTGCCGTGGCACCACGTCGCCCTGGAAGAGGTGTGTGTAGGGGGGGAGGGAGGGGGACGGCTTCCCTGAGAGCTCGCTGACATGCCGGTCACCTGTCCAACCGCCCGGAAGGTGTTTGACCTGCCCCAGTCTGTGCTGTGGGGCTTCCGCCAGGAGCCAGTTGTGGAGGATGGGGCCTACAAGGATGCTGTGGACGGCTTCATCCGGCAGCAGCAGGGCCTGGGAACACAGGGCACTACACACAGTCCCAGCCTGGCCACCGGGGAGGAGCAGTCCCGCCAGCCCAGCCACCAGGACCCCCAGAACCTGGCAGGCTTGCCCACAGCAGCCCAGACTGAGGCCCTATCCAGGCTCTTCACCTCGGTGAAGACACTGACCGCCAAGGAGGAGCTTCTGCAGACCCTGCGGTGAGCTGTCCAGCACCCCTCCCTGACTGGCCTAGACCAGTCCCCTTCCCCCTGCCGGGAGCCCCTCCCCACCCGGGCCTCTCTTTACGTCCAGATTATTCCTTCTCATGTAGGCCCTCCCTGCCTCCCTGGGGTCCTGCCCTGCTTAGTCCCCCACGTCCTTCTGCTCCTGGGGCCCCTGGCTAGCTTCACTCAGGCCCTGGATACTCTGCCCACAGGACCCACCTGATCCTGCATGTGGCCCGCACCCACGGCTACTCCAAGGTCATGACGGGGGACAGCTGCACCCGCCTGGCTATCAAGCTCCTGACCAACCTGGCCCTTGGCCGAGGGGCTTTTCTCGCCTGGGACACGGTACTCAGACCCTCCCTTCCCCCACTTGCCCTTCTTGGTGTGAGTCACCTCTGGGCATGGGTGACAGTCAAGGGGTACAGGGCCCCTACTTTCTCCACTTGGTGTGAGCTGGCCTGGCCAACAGGGAAAGGGGCAGTGAGGGGCCTGGCCAAGGGGTGACCAAGCATGGGACCCCTCCTCCAGGGCTTCGCCGACGAGCGGCACGGGGATGTGGTGGTGGTGCGGCCCATGCGTGACCACACGCTCAAGGAGGTGGCCTTCTACAACCGCCTGTTCTCCGTGCCCACAGTGCTCACGCCGGCCGTCGACACCAAGGTGGGTGCCAGCCAGCCGGCTCAGGCCAGTGCGAGGGCGGTGGGCTTGCAGGGAGGCCTTTGTCAGGGACGTGAGAGAGGCAGGTCTGTGTTCAGTGCAGGAGAGGGGAGGGCTCGGGCACGGTCGTCCTGTTGGCCATGTGACCCTGTGCTAGGCTGCCCCAGCCTGGACACCCCCTTGCATACTGGGCTCTGCTGTATACACTGGACACCACCCTGCCCACGAGGCACTGCTCTGCATGCTATACGGCCCTCCTAGCTGCACACCACCCTGTACACCGGGTGCCACCTAGCATGCTCGACACTGCTCTGTACACTGGGCAGCTCTACTTTGGGCTCCTGCATTCCACAGTGGAAACCATGCCCACAACCCCTGATCTGACCTCCTCAGGCCCCTGAGAAGGCCAGCGTCCACCGGCTGATGGAGGCCTTCGTTCTCCGGCTACAGACCCAGTTCCCGTCCACTGTCAGCACTGTGTACAGGTGTGGAGGGGGCACCTGGCTGGTCCCTGTCCTTCAGCATTGTGTCCAGGGGTGGGGTGGGCGGAGGGGAAACCTGGCTGGGGCTGGCCCACTCACTGACCATGCCATGTTCCTGCCTGGCTACAGGACAAGCGAGAAGCTGATCAAGAACCCCCGAGCTGGCCAGGCTACTGGGCCCTCCTGTCCTGCCCTCCCCTGCTGCCTGCTCTGCCTGTGCACACTGGATGTGGACAGCGCTGGTCTGCACCCTGGCCTGGGGTGGGAGAGGGCGGCGTGGTCACATTTGGCCTGGGGCAGGGGTGAGCTTGGTGTCACCCAGCTCTCTAGGAGACAGGCGGGCTCAGGCACAGCCCCTGCCGTCCCCCCTCCCCACACTTTTCTTTCTCTACACTGAGCTGGCTCTCTGCTTGCAGACAGTGCCACAGCTTTTGGGGTTCAGACTGCCATCACCACCTTTCGGAAGCAGACTCCCACCCCACAGGCCCAGGCTGAGGAGCCCCTAGCATCCTGCTGTGTGGCAGGGCGTGGGGGGGACGAGGAATGCTGCAGGGGGGCCAGGCCCTGTGAGAGGTGCGTCCTTGTCCAATCCATGCCGTCTTCTGCAGCTGGACGGGGTGGGGACTCCTCACTGAGGCCAAGCACGGGGGCCAGACCTGCCTTGCTTCCCCCAGGGTGGACCTGCGGAGCTGTGTGCTTGAGCATCTGTGCTACAGCTGCCGCGTGAACATGAAGGACTTGGTGAGAGATGCTGGGAACCCCCTCCGTTTGGCTGGGGTGGGCATGGCAGGAGGACTCCTGGCTCTGCGGCCCAGCCACTTGACCCCTTGTTGCAGCCCTCTGTGGATCCCCTCCCGCCCTACATCCTGACTGAGGCTCAGCTCCGCAGACACAGGTACCTAGTGCCCCTCTGTTAGGGGGACCTGGCTGGGGTCCCTCCAGGGCTCAGCCCCACCTGAGCTGGCCAGGCGTTCCACCGCGGCATCTCCACAGGGCCCAGGAGATCCAGGAGTTCCTGATCGAGGACAGTGAGGACGAGGCGGACAAGGCGGAGTTGGGCCAGAGCTGATCCCCTGGACCTCATCCTTGGGCTGTCACTGCTCCTGGGGGGACGCCCCCACTAAGTGCCTGGCCACAGTGTCCCGTCGGGCATGCACCACTCTGTGCGGCTGCTCGCCGAGGATGGCCGCAGCCCTCGGGATGTGTGGCGCGTAACTGCCGTTTGTATAAATAAAGATGTTTTTAATTAGAAAACTACAGTACAACTAGGGAAGGGAGGCCAAGACCCCTGGCCCACTGTGGCCAGTCCTGGGGGAACCTGCAGCTCGTGGTCCGGACCAGGCCCGTGGTCAGGATGAGGACACGGCGCTCCCTCTGGCAGCAGCATCAGGGCTTGGGCAGGCCGGCCCAGGCGTCACCACGGGGCCTCGGGCCTGAAGGCCACCGCGTGCCTCTCCATGTAGCCAGTGGCTCCTTCATTCTCGGGGGTGCGCCCTAGTCCCTCTCACGCGTCCACTTGATCATGGTCTCGGGGGAGCGGTACAGGAAGATGAGCTTGGCGTAGAGCTCCTCCTCGAGCGCCAGCTCGCGCGTCTCCCGCACCAGGAAGATGTCCTGACAGAGCTTGAGGATGCGGTCCACACAGGGCAGCTCCTCAAACATGATCGAGTGCGAGATCTCGCTGAAGAAGCCACGCACGAACTTGCCGATGACCAGCACAATGGACACGTAGAGGCCCATGATCCTGCGGGTGGCGGCTGAATGAGCGTCGCTGCTTATAAGCACGGACCCCCACTGACGGCCACCCTCCTCCCCCAGCCCTTTCGCTGGCCCGCCACCCCCCCTCCAGCCCCGACTGCCCCCTCGCACGTTAGCCCCCCTCCCCCCCCCCCCCTGACCCCCCCCGCCGGCCACCCTCCCCCTCGTCCCCCGCAGGCCACCCTCCTCCCCCAGCCCTCTCGCTGGCCCGCCACCCTCCCCTTCCGCCCCAACCGCCCCCTCGCCCATTAGCGACCCTCACCCACACCCCCTGACCACCCTCCTCCCCCAGCCACCCTCACGCCCCCTCACCCGTTAGCCACCCTCTCCCCCACCGCCAGCTCGACTCACCCGTAGCCCGCCAGGAAGCCGAGGCTGGGCGGGCTGACCTTGTCACTGAAGATGACCATGGGCAGCAGGTTACAGTCGGTCCTGCAATCCTCCAGCTCGACCACCCACCACTCAAGGAAGCCGTCGGACCCCGTGCCCACACGCTCCCTGCGCAGCTGGATCCGCACGTCCAGGTAATCGTCCTCCTCGTCTGTGGGCGGTGCGGACACGGTGGTCAGACCTCCCACTGCCCCCGAGGGCCCCGCACCACCTCCCACCAGGACGCACACTCACTGGGCTGCAGCTGCTTCACGGGGTTGGCTTCCGGGCCGTTGGGGGCACGGATGTACTTGGGGAAAAGGTGGGGGATGACCCTGAGAGAGGAAGCACTGCTCGAACCTGCCCCAGCAACCCTTCCCCAGGACACGCCCCCACCCTCCCAGAATGCACCCCTACTCACACAGACTGGTCCAAGGTGCCCTCGAGCAGGCTGGCCAGCTGCCGCCGGGCAGTGCTGTTGGGGGCCAGGTCCAGGGTGTGCTTCTCGTTGGTGTACTCCACCGTCCCACCCTTGGCTAAGTCTCTGTGGGTCGAGGAGTGGGGAACTGCTCAGGCAGGCCCCGGCTTCTGTAGCCCCACCACTCAGGTGGCCCTGTCTTGTCCACAGTCTGTCCTGCCTGCCGACGGGTCCACAGGCAGGCCTCACCCCCTGAAGACAGGTCCTGGCCCACACAGGTCCCACCCCACCCACCGACCAGGACCCACAGGTAGCCCATCCCCCACCTCTGGAAGTTCCAGGTGAGGCGCAGCGTTATATCTGAGGTGCCGTTGTACAGCTCCCGCTTCATCTGGGCCCGGCTGGGCGGGCTGATGCGCCACAGTGCCCCTGAGCTGCCCTCAATCTGCGCAGTGACGATGTCCTCGGGGCTGTACTGGCTGATGAACTGCATGGCCAGCTGGGGGCAGAGACACGCTCAGCACTGGCCCTCACTCCTCACGCCCGCGCCCCCTCCGCAGCCCTGGGCAAGCTCTTACCGGGTGAGGGTCAAACTGCTTGGACAGCTCTTCGTAGGCCTGGGCCGTGAAGGGGACGATGCATGGCTGTTGGGCACTCATGGTGAACAGGGGCTGGGCGGAGAGAGGGCCCGCAAGGTGGCCATAAGCCACGGATCTGCCCACCGATGAGTTTCCCCTCGGCCGCTCCCTCTGCCACGCCCCCGTCAGCCCCCCTTGACCCCACCCCCTGCAGCCCACCCCTCCAGAGAGGCCCACCCCCGCTTCTGACCGCGCCCCCACAGCACTGCCCACCCGCTCACCTCGTAGCCGCCCAGCTTGAGGGTGACCGTGACATCGACGGGCTGGTTGACCACGCCCACCACGGAGCGCACCAGCGACATGAAGAGCAGCGGGAACCAGATGATGGCGATGAGGAAGACGATGATGAGGCCGCCCATGCCGTACTTGACGATCTTCTTCTTCTTTTGTCCTTTGGGCTGTGGGTACTTCTGCAGAGACCAGAACACAGAGATGCGTCAGCGGCTGGCCACTCTGCTGGGCCCCTCCTGGAGTCACAGCAGGACCCACACCCTAGGGCACCTCTGACTCCCTCCCGCTCACAGCGGTCCCCAACATCAACCTCAGCTGACATCAGCATTCAGTGAAATTACTGCTCACAACGGCATGGTCCTCAGGCGAGGACAGATGTACAGACCAGCAGGGAGGCCTGAGTCCAGAAAGAAACCTTCACATGTATCTCTGGTTATTTGACAAACGTGGAACGTCCATCCAAGGAGGCCAGGAATGGTCAGTGGTGACCCACAGGTGGGACCCGGATAAGCAGAAGCAACAGGCAAAAGATGAAGCTGGCCCGCCTCGCTCAAGTTCAGGCCCAACCCATGATGCACCAAGTGACTAACCCATGCAGCTCTCAGGAGGTGCTGAGGCCAGCGACGGTGGGCTGGGCAAGGGCTCTTGAGTTACAGCATGGAAAATGCATGCCAACGAGCTACAGTAGACATCACAAGTCTATGAGGACCCGTCAGGTGAACTTTAGTCCACGGGACGGGAGAGCAGTTCTGCAAGCCATAGACTGGATGAGGTTCTAGGATACCGAATATATAAAGAATCTGAATAACCTTCTAAAGAAAAAAAAAGACAGCCCATCTGAAAAATAAGCAAAGAACCTGAGCTTGCAGTTCTCCTGGGAGGACATGCAAATAGCCAACAAGCACGTTCAAGATCCTTAGTCACCAAAGGTGCAAATCAGAACCACGCGATCCCTCGTCACACCCACCAGCGTGTGTCAAAGGATGTGTGCTGGTGATGAGACGGGGAGTGGGACCCTTCCTGCGGGGAAGCAAACCATGGTGCGGCTGCCGTGGAAATGGTCTGGCAGCCCCTCCAAACGTTAGGCACTAACAGGATCCCGGGCACACAGCAACGCTCAGGACGCAGTGGGGCTGCCTCGCACGGCTTCCACGGCGAGCCCGGGCGCCTTTACAGAAGCAGGTCCCTCAGCTTTGTCCTGTGGAGCAGCTGGGGCTCGAACCCCAACCTCCTGGTTAGGAGGTGAGCACTTAACCACTGTGTCACCAGGGCTCCCATGACCCAGGAGTCCTCCTGGTGCTCAGTGACAAGGAAACTTGCGCACCAGTGCTCACCACCGTGTTCTGAGGCAGCAGAAATGATCCCGCTGGGCGGGCACTGAAGAGCAGACAGTGCCGGGCATGGTCTGTCCACACGGAGAAAGGGATGGACACTGTGCCCGCGCCACAGCGCAGCGGGGCCTCTGACAGCCCACCTGCCACGTGGCGCTGTTCACACATGTGCTCAGGACAATGAATCCATAAAGATGAGAGGCGCCTCAGGTTAGGGGTAGAGCGGGGACCCTGAGAGCCGAAGGGCAGGGGTTGTTTTGGGGTGAAAGCATTCTAAATCAGATGTGGGAAAAGTGCCCACCACAGGCCACACAGAGCTGTGCATGGAGGGTGGGGTGTGAGTCACATCTCAATAAAGCTCTTAGAAGCACAAGCTCGACCTCATTCTCGTGTCCCCTGCTGCCTCCTAACCCCTTCCTCCTGTCACCATGACCCGGAACCCAGTCCCCGGGAGCCCCTTGGGGAGCCCCCTCAGGCCTGCTGTGGTTTCCAAGCTCTGACAGGGCAGACTCCACACCAGCCCCGCGGTGGTCTGTATAGGGCACCCTACCTTCTCCGTCTCCCGGCTGCACTTGATGATGAAGATGTTGGCATAGATGTCCTCCACACACATCCAGTTGGACAGGGACAGTGTGGTGTCTGTCCACACCCAGTCCATGACCGCCCGCAGCTCCACCAGGAACGGCACCAGGCGGAACCTGCTCGAGGACAGACACCCTTGTAGGTGGTCCGGGGAGGGGTGCCCGAGAGCAGCCCCGGCCCGCAGGCCCACACTCACCCCTGGAAGAGGAAGAGGTTGAGGTGGTTGTACTTCTTGGTGAGGAAGTTGCCCAGGATGCGGGTAGGGTAGCCGCAGCGGATCTGGTAGGCGGACAGCCCGAAGTAGATGCACTTGACGAAGTACCACAGCTGGGCCACTGCGTTCTGGCTGAACATCCTGCAGGGGCCGCCGCTCGGTCAGGCCGCTGTGGCCCTCGCCGGCCGCACCCACCGCTCCTGCCCGGGGGCCGCCCGCCCCACCTCTCGGTTACGGCCGGCAGAATGAAGAACATCCACAGGTGGATGGCCAGCACCAGCACCACCTGGAAGGCCAGCTTGCCCAGCACGGTCTTGCGCAGGTAGAGGGCGCGGTCCACCACCATGGTGCTGAACTGGATCAGCAGCATGACCAGGAAGGCCTCGGGCACCTGGTCGTCGGACAGCGAGGACGTGATGTCGGTGGCCGCCGAGTGCTTCTGTGAGCGAGGACACACGGGTCAGCCCGAGGGCCAGCTGGACCTCTCCGCTGCCCTGAGGGACGAGGGGGGCACTCCGGCTCACCCCAAAGGCCCAGAAGCCGAAGACGATGATGATGAAGTCGACCACGTCGGCCAGGAACATGAGTGCATAGACGTCGGTGGCTGCGCGGTACTTGGTGTGCAGAATGTCGTAGAAGAAGTGACACAGGGGCTGGTACATGCTCCGGGCCCTGGAGGTGGGGGAGGCGTGGGCGTGGGCTCCACCATGGCCAGGAACCTCCAAGCTCTTACGCACGCACACAACCTCCAAGCTCTTACACACGCATGTGCGCTCTCTCTCACACACACACACACACACGGTGGGGGGAGGCAGTGGGCGTGGGCTCCACCATGGCCAGGAACCTCCAAGCTCACACCCACCCACCCACACCCACACCCCCAGCGTGGGCTCCACCATGGCCAGGAACCTCCAAGCTCTCTCTTTTTAACACACACCCCATCCCCCCAAGGGCCTTGGGCAGCAAGGGGCCAGTGGGAATGGGTAGGCAGCCAGTGTGGGTGGGCTCTGACTCCGAGCTGCCCAGAGCTCTCCTCCACGAGGCTAGAACACACTCTAGACCCAGGTGTGGGTGGACAGCGGGTATGGGTGGGCTGGCCAGGGTCTACCTGGGGCCCCACCTGCTGGGGGCCCGGCCCAGCTCCCACCCACGGCCAGCCCTGGCCTGCCCGGGGCCCAGCACTCACACTGACACACAGGCGCTCTGGAGCCACAGCCCGGCTGCCTTCACCCTCTCCCGGGAGTGGCTCGGCTTCTTGGCTGTCCCAGCGGCCAAGGCTGCCTCCTCCTCCTCCTCTTCCCCATCCCCACGTCCAGCTCCTACAGGAAGAGGCTGCTGCTGACAGAGCACAGGTCTGCACTGGACTCACTCCCCTGACCCCCGAGGCAAGCCTGGGGGCTGGCACGCACCATTGACACAAGGCTGAGTACAGGTGTGATGCAAGGCCCTCCCCACAGGCTGCAGGCCTCATACCCTGCACTGTAGAGGTCCCGGGACAGGGTGCACCCACAGAACCCAAGAGGACTACACCCCACATCCAGGGCAGCTCTGGGTCCTGGCCCAACCCTGTGCTGGGCAGTCTCTGCTGTGACCCGGGTTACGCTTGCCTCGTCTACCTCCCCAGAGATGAGGGCAGAGGGTCACAGTGAGGCTGTGCACCCTGAGTTCCTGTGGATTGGGGTCACTGTAGCATCACCTGTGGGCAGGTGTGTTAAGCTGAGCCCCCGAGTAGCCGTGGGTCGGGGTGACTGTGGCACCTGAGTAGCCGTGGGTCGGGGTGACCGTGGCTTCTGTCTCAGGGCTCTTCCTTTTCCTCCTGAAACGCAGGCTGATGTGCTTCGAGCGGACGGACTTGGCCTCCACGCTGGGCTCTGGGACCTTGTCCTCCGGCCTTGTCCTAGCTTTAACCTGGCCATCATCCTCGAGTGGCGTCCCGGCCTCCACTACCTCCATCTGGGGCCCCAGCAGGGCTGTTGGTTCCTCCCCAGCCTCCTTCTCCTTCCCACCACCTCGGGTGGGCTCCTTGGGGGGCCGGTCATCATCGTGGTCCCAGAGGCCATAGCACTGTGGAGGGTTCGGGGCAAGGATCTGTGAGGGGGAGGCCGTGACGCTCCCAGGCCAATGGGGACCCTCAACCACCAGGCCAGAGCAGTCACCACCACCCACCGCTCATGTGGGCCTGGGCCCCAGGGAGGTGCTGGAGCCAATGCTAGCTCTACCCTGTACAAGCCGGCCTCGCTGGCTGTCCCCCCAGGGGCATCTACCAGCATCCAGTCCCCTCTACCTTCCCCATGACAGCTCCCCTGCCACCCCCACGGCTGGCCCCTCACGCCCACCCCACCTCTCCCCTCCCCTCCCGCACACCCACCAGCAGCTGGGAGCGGTGGAAGAAGAGGACCATGAGCTGCACCAGGTCGTACTTGAGGTAGCCGTCGGTCTTCTCGAGCCCCAGGATGCGGGGCGGGAAGTAGGGCTTGTTCTCACGCCGCCGGAGCACGGCGTAGCTGTTCCAGGGGAAGAAGCCAAACTGGAAGAGGTACTTGGTGACCACGGTGACCTACGGAGAGGGGTGCTCAGCACGGGCCCCTGCAACCATCCCACCCGCCCTGTCCAGCGGCAGCCACCTCTGTGAAGACGATGGCCGTCATCCAGAAGCGCTTGCTGGGCCGTGGGATGGACAGCATGGCCCACAGGAAGACCAGCACGGGCAGCACCAGGGACACGGCCGAGGCGGTGACCATGTGGTTGAGGATGATGACGAAGTAGCAGAGCAGCTCCGAGTGGGCAGCCACGCACTGGTACCCGGCCTGCAGCAGCCGCAGCACTCGGCCCTGCCCGGCCGCAAACCGCTCGGCCTCCTCCAGCTCCAGGATGCGCAGGCGCCTGGGGCACGGGGGCGGGGCAGGAAAGGGTGATGCTGGGGGGGACGGACGAGGGGGCGGGGCAGGAGAAGGGTGATGCTGGGGGGACGGTGAGGGGGCGGGGCAGGAGAAGGGTGATGCTGGGGGGACGGGCGAGGGGGCGGGGCAGGAGAAGGGTGATGCTGGGGGGACAGGCGAGGGGGAGGGGTGGGTAGAAGGGTGATGCTGGGGGGACGGGCGAGGGGGCGGGGCAGGAGAAGGGTGATGCTGGGGGGACAGGCGAGGGGGAGGGGTGGGTAGAAGGGTGATGCTGGGGGGACGGGCGAGGGGGCGGGGCAGGAGAAGGGTGATGCTGGGGGATGGGTGAGGGGGCGGGGCAGGAGAAGGGTGATGCTGGGGGGACGGGCGAGGGGGCGGGGCAGGAGAAGGGTGATGTTGGGGGGACAGGCGAGGGGGAGGGGTGGGTAGAAGGGTGATGCTGGGGGGGACGGGCGAGGGGGCGGGGCAGGAGAAGGGTGATGGGGGGGGAGGGACAGGCGAGGGGGGGCAGGAGAAGGGTGATGCTGCGGGCGAGGGGGATGTGGGGGGACGGGGTGGGGTGGAAGAAGGGTGATGCGGCATGAGGGGCCACGGGAGAGAGAGGGGGGATGGGGAGGAGGATACCCAGCGAGCCCTGGTCAGATGACCCTGGGTGCGGAGAGCAGCCCCACACCGTGAGCCTCAGGGGCAGCTCCCCTGGCCCAGATGGGCCCTGTGGGCAGGACTGTGGGTGCCCCCACACCTGTTGAGTAGCAGCTCGCTGGCCGTGCGCATGCGTGTGCGCTCACTGGCTAGTAGCTCCCGTGAGCCTCGGCGGGAGGGGTCAGTGTCTGGACTTGGGGGGTCAGCCACGAGCTCCTGGCTATTGCTGCGGGTGTTGTAGCCGGTGGTCTGCGGGCTGCTGGTGTCCTCCGTCGTGCTGCTCAGTGGCTCCTCAGCCCCCAGCCCGCTGTGGGTGGGGAAAGTCCTGGTCACTCAGGATGGTGGGAGGGCCTGGGCAGTGGGTGGTGGACCCCAGGAGTTGCCAGCCAGGCTGAGCACAGGTTCTGGGGTCCGGGTCAGCCGGGTGCCCTGCTCCAGCCCCTATGCACCTGCCTTGACGCTGTGCTGGGCGCCTCGGGGCGGTAGGCCAGGTCAGAGGGCTCGTTCTCGTCCTCGCTGGAATACAGCTGGTCCAGGACCCCTCGGTGCACCTGTCTGCCCTGCAGGCATGAGAAGGTCACGGACGGTCATGCACAGTTCACTGGGTCACACGATGGTCACGGGCAAGTCACAAGATTACAGCACAGTCACAGGAGTCAAGTGCAGGTCATGAGGCAACAAGAGGTCGCAGGCAGGTCACCAGGTCAGGATGGTCATGGAGGTCATGGGTGGGTTACTAGAGGGTTACACGTCGTCACCAGGTCAAGGGATAGTCATGGGGGTCAGGGGCACCTGTGAGAGGATCATGGGCAGGTCACCACGTCAGGGGTTAACCACAGTGGTCATGAGTAGGTCCCCAGGTCAGAGGACAGTCATAGCGGTCATGGGCAGGTTACGGGGGCCCAGGAGCGTCACGGGGACAGCTGGGCCAGGTTGGGTGGGCGGGCAGCTGACCTGCAGCAGCGCCTGTGTGAGGAGGTAGCGCTCGGCCCGCAGCACGTCGCTCATGTTACGGTGATGCCGTGTGAAGGCCTGTAGCCAGCGGGTCAGGCCGTCCACCATGGCCTGGCCCAGCACCCACAGGAACTGCGCTGTGCTCACTGCCCTCTGCATCACGTGGCTGCGGCCTGGGGGTACGGGTCAGTGCATGGGCAGCTGCAGGCAAGTCCCTCCCTCCCTGCCCGCCCTGAGTCCAGCCAAGGGGCTCTCGCACCTGCCACCTCATCCTCCAGTCCCTCTGCTGGTTCCAGCTCTTCACTGGGGCCACCTCCTGGACACAAGGCATGGTCAGGGTCTGCTGCCATGGGCAGTACCCCCAGGGCCCTGGGCTGGTACACGCTGACTCACCCTCGAGGGCCTGTCCAGCCTGCATCTGTGCCTGCTCCTGCCGCCGCCGCCTCAGGACCGTCTGGGCATTGGTCACCCACGCCTGGTACGCCATCTGAGGGCAGGGCTGTGGTCAGGACTATGGCAGGAGTAGACCTCAGCTGCCCCTAGACAGCTGACCTCTGCATCCACTCAGCACCGGGCCCTGTGCCCACTGCTAGGAATAGTAGGGAAGAGAGACCACCTTGTGGGGCGAGTAGGGAGAGGGCTAGGTGCCCAGCAGGGGATTGTGACATTGAGTGTCTCGGGTGCCTGCAAACCTGTGCCAGGAGCCAGGGCTGCCATGCAGAGCGGGCAAGGAAGGGGTTCCCCCGGGGAGGTGAGAGCTGGACAGAGGCCTGCAGGCAACGCCTCACCTGGAAGGCGCTCGGTGCCGATGGCCGGGTGTCCTCTGGCTGGGTCTCCTCCTCCTCCTCACTGTCCGACTCGAACAGGTAGTAGTCGCCTGAGTGGATCACTGTGGGCACCGGGCAGGGTGAGGCTGTGCTGGGCCAGCTCCCCTCCATGGACCCCATACCACAGGCTCACTGGTGCTGTGGGCCAGTGCCTCTCCCCAGAGGCCAGCAAAGCCTTGGGCCCCACACTGGAGACACTTTTCTCAGGGGCCGCCACAGCTATAGGACATTGGTGGACAAGAGACTGGACAAAGTGGACCATGCCGAGAAAGTGGGGGCAGGGAGGGCTTGCTATGGACAGAGACAAACTGTGGCTGTGAGAGAGCGACCAGAGGAATCCAGGACAGAGACAGGCAGCCAGGAGCCCAGGCCAGTCACCATGGCGTGAGCAGGCGCTAGCACAGACGTGATTGTGGGCGAGGGACAGAGCAGACAGGGCTAGGCGGCCACGCTGAGGCTGGAGGAGCAGGGCTGGGGCTAGTCAGGCAGGCCAGGGGCGTACCTGTTGCGTGGTCCAGCCAGGGCCGCCACCATTGTCTCCGTGGTGGAGAGGCGTCCCCTGGACGGCCGGGCCCTGCGGATGGGGCAGAACAGGCAGGCATGAGCGGGCAGTGAGCAGAGTGACGGACGTGGACAGACACAGCACCATGTAACAGATGCACGGTGATGCTGGCCAAGATGGGAGGCGTGGACAGAGCACCCGTGTACCGGGTGACAGGACGGTGACAGCGCTCAGTCACAGTAGATGAGCTGGACGTGGGACACCGCGGCACAGACATGGGGTTCTTGTGATGGGTGCTGGGGGCCAGGACATTGACCTGGTGCTCCGCGCAGGCCAGGTCAGCCTGCGGGCGCTCACCTGGCTCCTGGCTCGGGCGTTCGGGGTCCTCAGGGAAGTCCTGGCCTGCCCGGCCCTGCCGGTGCTTCTCCTGCTTGGCACGGATGCGCTCCATCCTGGGGGTGGGAGGTCGCCCAGTGACCGCCAGCTCGCCTGCGGCACCCCCACCAGAGGTCCACGGGGAACTCACTGTCTCTTCAGCTGCGCTAGGGACTTCTCCTCAGCTTTGCGGTGAGCTTCGATGCTCTTCAGACTGGCGGCATGGTACAGGGCGAAGCCTCTGCAGGATGGGGTGACAGAGAGATCAGCCCGCGGTGCCACCCTGCCCTGCCTGAACTCCTAACCTCACCTCTCAGGGCTCCCGTAGCCCCCCACTTTGGGGTCACTTGGCTTCCTCTCCTGAGTGTTCCTGGAGTCTGGGATGCCTGCCTTCCCCCAGCCATGCTTGGAGTGGCCACCCCTTTGCTGTGCCGTGCACTCAACTGCCTGTCCTGCCCAGTCTCTGGGAGAAAACATGCCACTATAGTGCCCCTGGCCATGTCAGGGTGTGGGGACACTAGGTGAAGAGCTGGGCAGAGGTCTCCAGCCCAGCTGAGGGGCACTAGGGCCAGTGAGGAGACCCTACAAATGGCCTCGCTCCTTGGGACACTGAGATAGGCACCAGATGAAGAAGGTCTCAGCGGCCCCCCAGTGTAGCTTTTAGGGGGCGGTCGCTAGCATTAGCTGGTCAGGGAGGAGGTTCCGGTGGGGCACACCTGGAGGCCTGCAGGGCGGTGGCCTGGAGGTCAGCGGCCACATGCCGGAAGTAGTCACTGAGGAAGATACGGCGCTGCAGCATCAGGAAGAAAAAGCAGACGCTGTCCCAGATGATGCCAGCCTCCTCCACGGGCAGTGCGCAGTCCTGGTCCTTGGTGGCCATTGCCTTGGCTGTGGCATAAGCAACAAGTCAGGGACTGGCTGTGAGTGTGTGTGCTGTGCATGTGCCATGGTTACAGCGTGTGTGCTGGGTGCGTCGTGTGTGCACGTGTGCACACACGGTGAGCCGTGTGCACGCACGTGAGCCGTGTGCACGCACGTGTGCCGTGTGCATGCATGGTGAGCCGTGTGCACGCACATGAGCTGTGTGCATGCACATGAGCCGTGTGTACACACGTGTGTCGTGTGCACGCATGGTGAGCCGTGTGCACGCACGTGAGCCGTGTGCACGCACGTGAGCCGTGTGCATGCATGGTGAGCCGTGTGCATGCACGGTGTGGGTATACTACACATGCACTGTGTGTGCCACGTGTAGTAAATGTGAGCCGTGCATGTGCCGTGGCTGTGCCACATGTGCAGTGTGTGCTACGTGTCCCATGGACACTGCTGTGTGTGACGAGCATGTCATGTGCACCGTGTGCTGTGCTCATCCTGTCGTGTGAATTCTGTGTACATGCTAAGCGTACTGTGTTCTGTGTACATGCAGCATGTATACTGTGGAATGCACTGTGTGCTGCCGTCTGTGCTGTTCCTGCGTAAGTGTAGTCAGTGTTGTGTGTATACACTGTGCAACATACATGTACCATGTGTGTACCCGTATGGCGTGCTGCACCTGTGTGCTGTGCTGTGATCAGTTATGTGCACGGTGTAAGCCATGTGCTGTGTGCACTGTGTGCTGTGTGACACACTGTGTGCTGTGAGTGTAGGTCTGATGTGCACATGCCTCATCTCCCGAGCCCCATCTGTGTCCCGCTGGCCCATCTCCACCTGCCCACTGCACTCACGGTCGTAATAGCCCTTCACGGTGCACACGAGACTGAAGAGCTGGATGACCCAGCAGAAGCTGCTCTGCATTTGCTCCACAAAGACACAGGACAGGAGCTGGGGGGCAGGATGGGGACAGGAGATGGAGGGCAGACTGGGGTTGGCCTGGGTCCCTGGGGGGTGGACAGAGCTAGGGGACAAGATGAGGGGATCAGGGCTGGGCTCCTGAGGTGGGCAGACAGGCGCTGGAGAGCAGGGCCGGGTTGGCCTGGGTCCCCGGGGGGTGGACGGGAGCTGGAGGGCAGGCAGGGCAGGGCGCCAGGCGTCCACTCACAGAGAGCATGTTCTTGGAGATGATGACGGTGACGTTGTAGAGGATGAGGCAGTCCCACAGCACGAGGCGGGCACGTGTGTCCTTCTGCAGCAGCGCGGTGCCAAAGAGCAGCAGGTAGAAGCAGGCCAGCAGGTAGCCCAGGCCGAAGATGCTGATGCGTGTGGCCCCCGTGACAAACACCACCACCAGCACCAGCCAGAAGAGGTGGCGGAAGACGGCCACCTTCACCATGTCCAGGTAGGACCTGTGTGTGGGGACAGGCGTGATTGAGGGGCCCACTCCGATGCCTTGCTCCCCTCCACACTCCCCTCCACTCCCGGGCCCCCCAACCTGCAGTGAATAAAGTTGGGTACAGGGTTGGGCTCTCCCTGCAGTGGCTCGACGTGGTCTGTGTTGGCACCGGCCATGTTCTGCCACTCCTGGGTGTTCTCAGCCCCAAACACCTGCCACTGCTGGGAGGCACAGAGCAGCAGGAGGAAGTCATCTGTAGGGACACAGAGCATGGTGCTGAAGGCCACCGCCTGGCATGCTCAAGGCTTCAGACTGGGGGGACACGGGGTACAGTCCAGGCAGCTACTGCCTGGCATGCCTGGGGCCACCAGACCAGGAGGGACCAGCAAGGAGACACAAGACACTGTCCCTAGAGTCCACTGTGTGGGGCCCCAGACCTGGGAGGGGACACAGGGCACCATGCTAGAAGCCCAATGTGTGGCATTCCCAGGCTCCCAGGCCAGGATAGAGCTGTGTCACTGCACGTGTGCAGGGCACAGCTAGAGGCCGGGGTTTCTGAACAGGGCACACCTGTCTCTACATGGGGTGTGTGGGAACGAGGATGCCATCTGTGAACATGCCTGTGTGCAAGGGGACCTGTGTCCACGTGTGTGTTCCCTGCTGCCTGTGTGTATGTGTGTGCACATCTGTGTACATGTTTCTAGACCCATGTGTTAGCACCCGTGTCAAAACCTGTGCATGAGCTATATCCTCACCCGTGTGCATGCACAATTGCATGTGTGTGCATGTCTGTCTGGGTATGTCTGCGTGTGCATGTCTGTGTGTGTGTGTGCATGTCTCCCTGTGTGCGTGCATGTCTCCCTGTGTGTGTGCATGTCTGTCTGGGTTTGTCTGCGTGTGCATGTCTGTGTGTGCGTGCATGTCTCCCTGTGTGTGT